AAAGCTTCTTTTTTTTTTCTCCTTCAGTTTGCATAGAAAACAATTTCGAAAAGTTGAGTGCGAGAAAATATTGGCAAATAACCCTTTACTTAAGTTTTATATTGTATTGGTATTGGTCATTTTTAAAAAAAAATTATTTACATCAAGTATAGCTAAATAATAAAATTTGATAATTTATTTTGGGTTCATTTGCTTGATTAGACACATTGCCATGCGGCTTGCACACATGTAACCGGTGATCAAAGGGGTCCATGAAGACTTGTTTGAGGTGACCACCCCTGTTTTTAACCGTTACCAGAAACTTTAAAAAAAAAATGATGACTATTTACCTTAGAAGAATTGTTCCCAGTACAGCCACAGGAATCACCAGGCACGTGTAGGTGTGAAGTCTGTTGAGTTGCACAAGTTGTAAATAGATATGAAGTCATTTTTACCATTTGTTTTTTTTTTTTAATTTCTTTGTTTAATTTAACAATACTCCATTCCTAGAGAGACCGGGCCCAGGACTATGAATGATAAAACTAAGTTATCTGGAAGTCCCATCGGTTCCTATAGAGAGACCGGCCCCAGGACTGTGAATGATAAAACTAAGTTATCTTGAAGTCCCATCGATTCCTATAGAGAGACCGGCCCCAGGACTGTGAATGATAAAACTAAGTTATCTTGAAGTCCACTGCTTAGTTTCTCAGTTGCTTAAAAACTTGAATTTTCGTTTTGCTTTGAAAAAGAAGGAACATTTATTTACTCCAAAATATACGGATCAGTATGGCAACATTTTCTCCATTGTCTGTGTGTCTTAAGCGACGTACGAAAGGAGGGAGGGGGACATTCGCCCCGGCCGCCAACATCAGGTTAGCCCCCAAACATCTTAAGATATGATCTTTAAAGTTATTTAAAATATAAAATCCAATGTACTTCACAGAGACAAAGGGCGCCAAACTCGTCTCTACTCTCCAACCCGGTATCGAGGGGTGACACTTTAAGGCCTCGCCCGGGCGCCCCCACCCCCTTTTTTTTTAGCACGGTCCCAGTACAACCATTAATTGAATTACCCTAATACATACGCTTTGTGTAGTCAGGGTAAGAAAAACGTCATTAGCCTGTTAGTTACAATCGCCGGCCGTGCTATTCTTAGGCCCTGGCCCGCTGTGATGCCTTCAACCGCGTTTGCAAATTACTCTGCCAAGGTAAACTGTAAAGCTTTGCTAGCTTACCTTTTTGTCAGAGCACTGCAAAGCCGTCTACCTCTACCGACAGCATCCATTCTCCCTAGCTTACCTGAGGACGTAGGTCGCCGCGAAAGCCATCGCGTAGCCCACTGCAGCAGCCAGAGCGTAACTCGACAATCCCATGGAGTCTTTGGGGGAAACAATGCGGGACGATAAAACCGGTGCTTCGTGATAAACACGGTGTTATAGCGGTCGTAGGTCTACAGTTAGTAACGGGAGAAGACGGGACACGGCCGACATCTGAATAACAAACTAAGTAAAACACAGGAGGTTGCAATAATACGTGTGGCAGCTGCTACAGTAAGGATTGCTCGTACGGTACTGCTTCATTTGGCATGCAAAGTCATAAATTATGAATTTTTAAACAGTGTCGTGAAAAACATTGACGTTCAACAGATGTCATTAGTTTGATATCTACAGATGTTCTCAATCATTTTTTTCCCTAAAAAATAAAACAAAAAAAAAAACAAAAAAAAAAAAAAAAAAAAAAAAAAAAACAAAACAAAAAAAAATTATGAATTTTTAAACAGTGTCGTGAAAAACATTGACGTTCAACAGATGTCATTAGTTTGATATCTACAGATGTTCTCAATCATTTTTTTCCCAAAAAAATAAAACAAAAAAAAAAACAACAACAAAAAAAGTAGAAGAAAAAAAAGCACAACAAAAATGACGTCACTGGACGCAACTGCCAATCATCAGTGATATGACGTCACTGGATGCAACAACCAATCATCAGTATCTAAAACTAATACGAAATTCGGACGATTATATAATCATGTTTTAATAACTGTAAAGCGCTTAGAGCTTTATGATAAGCGCTATATAAAAATGCCTAAATAAATAAATAAATATTTGATAATGCACGATACAATATTGGCCGATTATATAATCTTTATATTTTGACACTGTTAACGAGAGGAATGGCGTTAAAATATTTACGGATTATTTAATTATGATTTTGTGAGTTCGTGGATACGCCAAATTTATCATAGTTTATGTCATGCTTATACTTCATAACTATTCCAAAATATTTTGGGCTGCAAGACCCCCCTTGGCCGGGGGGGGGGTGGCGTGAAGAAAAGCTGCACCAGGGGTAATCAGTGAGCAGGGGGGGGCGGCGCCGCTTGGTGACGCGGTTGCTGCCCCTTGGGTTGTTGCGTACACACTACACTAAAAATACATCCATCCCTGTGGCGCTACAGCCCAAGTAGGGCTTTGGCCTTCCTCACCACTTTCTTCTACTCAGTTAGGGTTACCAGACGTCCGTATTTAGTATGGACAGTTGGTATTCCCCCCCCCCCTTTTTCCGTACCAATTTCTGCGTCAGTATTTGTCCGTACTTTCCTCTCGTCGTCCGACTTTTGGCAGCGACGACTTGCTTGTCTTATTTCCATTTGTCTTGTCTTATTTCCATTTGTCTTGTCTTGTTTCCATTTGTCTTGTCTTGTTTCCATTTGTCTTGTCTTATTTCCATTTGTCTTTTCTTGTTTCCATTTGTCTTGTCTTGTTTCCATTTGTCTTGTCTTATTTCCATTTGTCTTGTCTTATTTCCATTTGTCTTGTCTTGTTTCCATTTTGTCTTGTCTTGTTTCCATTTTGTCTTGTCTTGTTTCCATTTGTCTTGTCTTATTTCCATTTGTCTTGTCTTATTTCCATTTGTCTTGTCTTATTTCCATTTGTCTTGTCTTATTTCCATTTGTCTTGTCTTATTTCCATTTGTCTTGTCTTGTTTCCATTTGTCTTTTCTTGTTTCCATTTGTCTTGTCTTGTTTCCATTTGTCTTGTCTTGTTTCCATTTGTCTTGTCTTGTTTCCATTTGTCTTGTCTTGTTTCCATTTGTCTTGTCTTGTTTCCATTTGTCTTGTCTTGTTTCCATTTGTCTTGTCTTGTTTCCATTTGTCTTGTCTTGTTTCCATTTGTCTTGTCTTGTTTCCATTTGTCTTGTCTTGTTTCCATTTGTCTTGTCTTATTTCCATTTGTCTTGTCTTATTTCCATTTGTCTTGTCTTATTTCCATTTGTCTTGTCTTATTTCCATTTGTCTTGTCTTATTTCCATTTGTCTT